TGTCAACAGCCTAGCCCTGTAGCAGCGTGGCGCTGGCTGTTTAAGGGGTCGGCTATGATGACAGCCAAGGAAAATGCCGCACCACAGAGGTAATAACAGGGTCAAGCCGCTGACTCCATTCAGGGCCAAACTCCCACTGTTCAAACTGGATGATAACAGGCACAATGAAATGATGTATTTCCACATGGGGCAGGGCTGTGTTTACAATTGAAGATAATAGCAGCCAATGGAGGGTTCATAACAGCAGGGGTTGGTAGGTGAGTTCATTTATGTCATGGCATTGTTATCAAAATGTCCAAATGTAATGTGTGTAACACCTTAATACACAATAAGGTGAGAACCATCACTGAATAGTCACAGGAGGGAGAGTTACTACACCAAACTAGAGACACATAAGTGGGCACTCCTTGAAAAGGATCTTGACTTTGTAATTATATCAGATGTTATCGGGAGGAGATTTTAGGAAGGGTAAGTGCTCAGAAACTAAATCAGAGAGAGTAGCTGCCTAGGGAACACGTTGTTATCATAATTACCTGCTGAGCGATGACTGCAGAACCGGTGTTGATGTTGACGCCGAGCTGCCCTCTCCTCTATCCGACAAGGCTGTCTTATGTGGGTTGCTGCCTGCCTCTACATCTCTTTGTGCTCTATTCTATGTGTGTTTTCTTTTCTTTTTTTCCACCCCTCTCTTTTCAGCCAGGAACACAGACGGCACGGCCAAAAAACGCAAATATTGTTTTGGTGAGATATGGCTGGGAGATTGGCGGGGTGGACTTGCGTCAGTGTGTACGTGCGGGTGCTGGCAGGCTCTGGGGTTGCTCCCTGGGAGCTGAGGCGAACTGGAGACCTCATCTTCTCTGTATCAAACTACACCATGCTCCTGCTGGTGCACACAGGCATTCCTGCATGTTTTTTTTTATTACCAATGATCTGTTTGAATGAAACGCAACCCTAGTGTCCTCACCGTTGGCATTTAAACAGGAGGAAATAACAGATGATGATATCAGAATGGGGGAGAATGACGGAGAGGGAGGAGGCCACTCAGCGAGGAGAAACACTTGACCTGTTTGTTTTGGGAAAATGGTATTCCTCTGCTAATTTCCTCCTGATAAGTATCTGACAGCTAATAGTAAAGTGTTTTATCTTGGCTAGCAGGGAAATGGCTTCTCTTGCTCACAGCGCCAATCGATTCCAGAGACTCTGCTGCTTTAAATTGCATTCTCTGGTTTTTAGAGTTCTTCTATTTGCATCGAGGTAATCAATTACATATATTAGCCTCCTGCTTTTAGCTTAACATGGACTTTGTCCTTCCTTCCCCTCGCCCCCTTTCTCCTTACCTCTGCTGCAAACACTGGCTCCTTCCTCTTCCAGCTAACATCATTGACTGCTGTTTGCCATGTTGGGGGGCATTGATTTTTACTGCTCTGCCTCTCTCTCTGGTTTAACAGTTGATGAGAGGTGTTAAGATGCCCAGGGACAGCCCTGCCTGTTTTAAGGAGATGAGGTTGGGTTTTATAGCCCTGCTGCTTCCTCAGCCTTGGATGATAAGGTGTGTGTATGTGTGTATTGTCTGCGAGTGTGTGCATGAGAGCGAGTCCGCCTGTATGAGTTGAGAAGCCGCTTGAGACTAGGATTCCCCCCAGGAAGCTAAAGTAAACCTTGTGGTATTAAGGGCTTTTAACAAGCAAACTTGGGGCTTTGTCATCTCCAGCATTTGAATCACTTTAAAGAATTTGTGCAGAAAATCGGGTTATCTCTGTCAATGAACAGCCACTTGATCAGATATGATTATCAGGACTGAAGTGTTAAGTGTAAAACCAGGCGTGATTAGGAAACGAGGGAGACAGACGAATGGCTCGGGTGGTTGACGTAGGATTTAGATTCAGAGGTGACAGCAGGTTTTAGTCTCTCAGAGGCACCTATAACCCCCCACAGCCCCCCCACGCACACAAACAACACACTCTAAAGTCATGGATACAGACACAAACCTCATTTAACACGATTAGTTTCTTTGAGGATTTTACGGCAGCCTCTTATATCCGGGATGAAAGAGTTCTCACTTCTGACAGGAGGGAAGGGAAAGGGGGGAAAAGCTGGTGTCTGCAGAAGCCAGTATGACACACTCAGCTTTCACTGCAATATTCACCACATTATTAAGGAACACATTTCTTTGTGCCATGTTGCTCTCAACACCATCTGTAGTGTGCAACTCAAGTGGTAGCAATTTTCTTGTAGTCTTCGCCTGCTCATGCAGTATTACAAGTGAAACTCAATTGCAGATCTGCGCTCCATGTTCTAGTGCGTTTAGTTTCTCATAAACGTTTGCATTCTTCAGTGATTGCTTCCCGGCGGTTTCCAATATGCAGAAATGCACTGCCATCTCAGTATTTAGCTCTCTCTGGCTTTGATGCCATTTCGGAGAAAGCATTTGCCCAGTATTGCTTGTGAAATGGAATCCAATCTAATATATGCGGTAATAAAACCATGTTGTTTAATATCTACAGTATATATATTTTTTAGCAATCTTAAGAAAACTAAACGTCTATCTATTGTGCAGTTCCAAGAAGAAAAAATATGCAATGAAATAATGAAAACCAACTGAAAAAAGGTACAATTATAGATTATTATGAACTTGATGTATAAGAAACATAACTAGAATCGGCACTCAGAGAGCAAAAATCTCACTGAGCCCAACAGTCCACTTATGAAACCACATTTAAATTAAAACAGACCCAGATGTTTATTCTGCACCAAACTGCACTGATCATAAGTATCAGTCCCTTAAACAAGCCTGATTTTGAATTCTTTTTTTAAAGTCCTGGATCCGCACTTGAATAGGTTCAACACTCCTCCACAAAAGTCCATGGAAATCGGTTGAGTAACTTTTGCGTAGTCCTGCTAACTAACAAACAAATAAAGACTTCCTCCTTGGTGGGGTAATGAAATTAATGAAACAATTCAAAATGATTCAATGTTATAAACTTGTTATAAACATGTTATAAAAATGTATAACCAACCTGTGATGTTATAATATCTTTCTTAAACCCCTCATCTCTACACTCATGCCGCACACTCACTTTTAGGAGTGTCCATCGGTGCATGTTATAGCCGGGTAATATCAACCTAATAGGCTTACCTGTCAGCGCCTTATGCGATGTAGACCCTGTAAATCACATTTGTCCACGACACCTGCTCGCCTCCCTGCGTATTTATGGGTTTCTCCTCCGCCCTGTCCTCTTCTTTTTTGGCGTCAGTCCAAAATCAACCCCCTCTTCCCACAGTATTTTCCTCAGTGCGCTCCCTTCCCCTCATGGATTAAATGAGTGAATGAGCAGGTGTTAAGACGTATGGGGGGGCCCCATTCAATCCATGCTCCCCATCTGTTTAAACCATCCACTGGTTGTCGTCTGAATATCAACAGGATATATTTTCAGTTTTGATTTGAGATGCTCACAGACGCAATAAAACAATTCACCTGTAAAATGGTCATAGTTCCTTCCAATGAAACTGATTTCACTTCCCTGTTGTTTTGTGTCAGGTAGGTTCCTCATTGACTGTGTCCCACTGGCCAGAAGTTCTTCAACTCAACAGTCTCATACTCATAATGTTGGTGTCACATTAGAAGATGTTGAGCTCAAGAACGCAATTCAAAAAGGTTTTAATTACTCAACAGCAGTGCATGACTGATACATTGGTTGATGGATAGAAATCAGCCCATATGAGACTTTCACACACATATCAGTATCAGCATTTGTTTGACGATATGCAGTGATATGTCATTTTATAGAATAAACATAAAACATGTGGAGAAGACCTGTATCTAAGTTTATGTTATTAAAGCTAGGATTGGTGGGCCTGGAAAAGCTAGCAACAGCAGGCTCCACTTGGAAAATGTCAAACCGTTAACCGTTCAAAGTAACGGCCCCAAAACAAGCAAACGTTCACTGCCTGAAAACCTCTAGGAGCCAACTTTTCTGTGATTTTTTTTTTTCTTCACTAAGTTCTGGCTGTCATGTCTGAATCATTTCATGCCCCCAAAAACCATATTGGTGAGGCGGTCACAAAAAGTTATTTTAACTTCATGAAGTTCTCGTAGTGAACACATTGCCCACACATGTAGAAACATAAGCATTGATTTGGAGTCATGTTTGTGTCGCCTGGCATGTTCACTTTAAGCTCTGTTTTTTGCCTCCGTTAATGCCTGACATAAACAACTGGCTTTGTAACTTCTCTATGCTCCACCATGTTCATCAGTACCAGCTCTAATTTAGTCCCTGATGTGATGTTTGGTGGTGGGCAGGTAACATGCAGTGGCCTTATCACAGCTGTTTTGCAAAAAGAGCTGACAGGGAATGAAATTAATGAGTGTGATCATCTGAACCAAAACAGTAAATCTGAACACCAACCAAACTGAAGTGCTTTGAGTTAGAGTTGCAATGTGCTTGTATAGGCCAATCCTAAAACCAGTGTGTGTGTGTTCTAGGCTTATACGCTGGATTTGTATCAGCCTGTAAAGGGCGCAGCGAAGCAGTGAGGAGAAACTAAGAGAGGTGTATTAAGGCAGTGAATCTCACTGCTCTGTGTGTAATGGACTCAGGATGAGGGCTGACCAAGCGTCAGGCTGCTGATAACCTTTAGGAAGGACATTGTTCCTGAGCAGTGGGGGATAGGGTCATGTGGGGGGGATATACAGAACTGCTGCAGTATACAGGAGGCACGGTGATGTGATGGGTGCTGCAGTTGTTCATAGGTTCATTGACTCTGGGGCAGGGTTAGGAGGCAGAGTAAATGGGGCAGTATAGCAAACTCCCTCATGGGTCCCTGCATGCATTTTTCAGCACCGGGATGTATTTCTCAGTGATACATTTGTCCTCTGTCTGAACCAGGTTCTCCCTGGCATTCCATTAAAAGAAATTTAACAGGCTTTTTTTCTTGTGTATTCTTTCCCTCAGATCACCGCTACAGGAGGAGGGGTCAGCGAGGGACCGCGTGTGAGGAATACATGAAGGGTGGGTTGGGGGAGGGGGCGGCCACCACAGCGGCAGTACCACCAAGGTCAAAGTTCACACAGGTAAACATATTTTAATTCTAATCCACTGCTCAGTGATTGTGTGCACCCTTTGGTTCCACCCTGGCTTCACCCTGGCTTCACTATCACCCTGACATGGTGCAGGGGTAGTAATGTGGCTGGTTTTGATTGGAACCTCCTCGGCTGGCGGCAGGGGAGGAACTGGGAACGGAGCAGTGTGCAGCTGCAGTTTACGAGGGGCTGTGCAGGATCCTGTTTGGCTCTGTTTTTTAAAAAAAACCTTGCCAATTCCTGGTGAGAACCCTGCAGCCAGTGTCAATACTTGGAGAAACGATCAAAAACGATCACGCTATGTTTCAATGGCTATTTGTTTCCAAAACACTTGCTTTTTGTTTTACAATGGACAAATACAGGACTAATACAGGAGATAATACGCAAAAAGATTCATGCACTCAAAATGCAAGTCCAACTTGCCCATTGGGAAAATTGCTAATATGTATTTGCGTGCTTTGTTAGGGGGTTTCAAATGCTAAAGTCATGCACAAGTGAACAATAACCTGTTTTTCTAGCTCTGTGTTGCATCCTGCTACAGTTGTGTCACATATTATAATAATTTGGCAGTAAATTGGATCAGCACTGCTCTGTCCAAATGAAAACGTGATACTTCAAAGAGCAAGAGCTTATTGTGAGTTAATTGTGGATCAAATTTAAAGGTCAAGTGAACGTGCACCTTAATTTTTTACTGATGACATTTTTTTTTCTGCCAGAACCAGAAAGGTTTGTTTCATTTTCTGCTTGCCTTTCTTCGTGAATTCTTTGCTACCAGGGATTATAAAGTAAATAAATAATAAAGTGCTGGTTAATCTTCCTTAGTGCAGCGCATGTCTGTGTGTACGCTGAGCAATGGCACCGCCTGGGGAACATCTGCCTCAAACACACACACACACACACACACACACACGTATATGCAGACGGGCACTGACACATACTGTACACACATGCACGACGAGCAGGGATCAGCCAAAGCGATTAGCACATGGACGTCAGAGCACAGAATGCGACAGGTTTAACACACGTAGAAACACACATGCGCCAACCATCGACTGAGTGACAAGAGCTGCAGACAGAACGTGGCTGCAGAATGTGATGGCACACGACTGCAGACACATGAAAGTATAGGAAGACAAGTTTTGCCGCACTTCTCTGCTGCTGTCAGACGTTATTCATCTCATATCTGTTCTTTTTTTTTCGTTCCTCTCCTCTCACATTAACACATACACAGAGTGTTCCAGTGGTTGATCAAACAACTGTGCAATTGAGGCAGAATTTGGCCAGACAGAGAGCCAGGATTAGTAATGTGGAGCTCTGCTGGCTTAATTTGTTTAGAAAGCCTATCATTGCTGCAAACATGCTACAGACTCTTGCCGTTTACAGAGGAATATTTTCCCCTGCAGCTTTAATTGGATGCATTTTTAATGTTAGTGCCACATAGTGTGGTCACTGTTGACACTAAACACTGTGTCCATTGTGAGGGGACGGAGTTGAGATTTAGGAGAGAGGAAGAGTTTGTGTGTGTCTGAGCGTGCAGTGGTCGGGTGATGTTGTGTCCACACTACATGTGAAATTTATAGCTCTGCGTCACAGGGCTACAGCTTAGCTACGGAGCTTACGCACGTAGCCGCAGTAGCTGATATGTACGGGGGGAAAACAGAGCTTTTAGAAATCAATGACGTAAACTCTGGCCAGACATGGTGCCACGGAGCACCAAGGTTATTAGAGCAACTCAGTGTGGCCTACTCTGTTGTCACATAAATTTAGTCATAATGTAATACAAGCCTAGAATCTGTATTTTTTGCTCATTAAATAGTGATGTGAGTGAAGTCTGAGAGCATGAGTTACTCAGCTGATGCTCAGGAGAAGGACCGGGCTCTTTCTGATCAGAATCTGATCAAAAATCTGAGTTAACATGGACATTGTATAAATATTGGATTCGGTTCGATCGCACTTTATTTTCAGAATCTCTTCTGAAATTTGTCTTGCATCCCAAGACGTCCATTGCCTCACACAAACATGTAATTACACAACAGAACCAAAAAAAGATTTCAACAAACATTCTACACAAACAGATGACATTGCATCTGACATTTAAAAACAAGTAGCTGTAGTGCAATTTCTTTAAAATTCAGTGCTTTGACTACACCGCAACACTAAGGGCTACTTAGAGCTCAAACTCAGATTTAACAGTTTCACAGACTGAGGAACAAAAGAGTTCTTCAGTCTGTTAAGGGTTTGACTGCGCTGCATGACATTATTAGATAAAGCAAGAAAAAGCCTTAGTTTTCGTTTCTGTATTTATTACTTTCTATTATGTGTCAATCAACTTTATTCTTTATTTGTCCATCCATTCTTTCCATGGTTTTCTCAATCACCGGTGCGCTTTTATGTTATACTGTATGTTTGTGACGGAGAAAAGGTGAGAGACGTAGACAAGATAGAATGAGAGAGTATAATCAAGACCAATTCTCTGAGGAGTTTCACCTCAGGGTGCTGCAGCTTAGGTGACTGTGATGATATTCAAAAGAGAGGAATGTGTATTTTTATCCTTGCTGGTGATATTCATTTTGGTTATTGTCTTACAGCTCCTTTTTTCTAACACACACACACACACACACAAGCCGGCCTTTTTTTTTTGAATTGTGCGCTGCGAGAGGCATCTCACAAACAAGCAAAGGTATAAAATGGTGAGAGTGGGAGGATGAGAGAGAACATTGTCTTCTCTTTTCCAGCTTAGGGACAGCGCAAAACAGGTTGTGTGAGGATACTTGCCATCCTTAACAACTTCTAACGCTGCCTCAGGGCCACCTCGACTTCTGTGATGAGAGTTGTGTTGTGCAGAGGAGTTGAAGTAGTTGCAACATGTTAGTCAGCGTCAGATGGCATTCCAGGTAGCCTGTAAGTCCCCAGAGTAACACAATTACATGTTTTGAAATCATTAATGCAAGATCTTAGCTGAATCACTTATAAGGGTGATTTTAGATGGTTTTTCCTGTTTGTACAATTACGAGTCATTACATCGAATAAGGAACATACCACAATACCAGGACATATCAAGTGTTACCTGGCTTTGTGTGTCTTTGTTTGGGAAATTGTAGTTTCATACAACTTGGGTCTTTTTCTCGTCTTACTCTGGTTCTTATTCTGTTGTCAAAGTATATCTGAGAGATTGACAGAGAGAGGGTGACAAAGAGGGGCGGAGGGAATCAATGCACAGCACACAGCTCTACAATGAAGCAACAGCACATAACTCTACTATAAAGCTCTTATATGTTATTGTGAGATGTGCACATATTTTTTCGGTTCAGTTTTAAGAAGGAATAATATTGTGGTGGGCAAACTCTATGTGTGGAAAACATATGCAGTATAATGTAGTTGTTTAGCTGAACATGTAAGCAAGAGTTTGTCTTGCCTGGTCTGACTTGGTTTTACCGAAACTGTCTTCCCTGTTCCCTGATCTCACTACACAGCCAGCATTAAGTTATCATAACTAAAACAGAAAAAATGAGAATCAGACCAGATAAGCCGTAATTTTCCTTTAAATGTCTTCAAATGTTGATGTAATGTGAAATGACATCACTCCGGTCGACCGGCATCTTTGTGCGCCAGTTGGTCTGTGATGTTATCCATCACTGGATCTCTCTGTCTGGTATCGTCAATTACCCAGAGGAAAAAAACATTAGGGGCCTGAATGGGACACGGAGCAGTGGCAGGCCTGACATGGCTGTGTTATATGATTACACAACCTGTTGGCTGTCCGCCTGTCAAGTGTCTCCCAGTGCTGATGAATGGCTGCAATATGCCGCGCATCACAACACCACGCCATACACTCATTAATGGCTTCTCATAATGCCCAGGACGTTCCTCCAATACCGTGACAGGATTCACAGAGGGAAGGAGAGAGAAGGGGGTGGTAGTTGTAGTGCGAGAGTGAGACTGAGAAATGGTGTTCGTGAATAGCCCACCTTGTTTCCTTGTCGCCATTCAAGGCAGTAAACAAAAGAAACATGGTCTCCTGATTTGAATAATTTCACACACATAGTGTGGCAAGATGCCAGCATCACAGTCGCATGTAACTCCTAATGAACAAAGGATGGCAGACATAGGGAGAGAGACGAAACAACAGTGCAGGGAAATGTAAGAATTATGATTTTTGTAAGTGCGACACGTATGTTTCTCAATGAGATGCACACTTGTCCATCTGTGGCTTATTTGCATAGATGATCAGAAACGTGGCGTGCACACCAGTGTGTAGGAACGTGACAATAGAGATGCTCGAAGAAAGGAGATGGAATCTGTCATCTGTCGGATGCCATGGGAAGCTTAGTTGATTGCTCATTCTCTTGCTGAATTAGAAGACATGCTACCCAAGATCCTCCACACTACTTGATACACAGCTTTAACAAACAGATCTGATTCTCATAGAGACACTGCTGCGAGAGGTTTCGAAATAAAAGGGTGCGGAAAGAGCTATTTTGTAAGGAGGGGAGATACTGTGTGTGTTTACCACTCGGTGTGAAGTAGTTTCTCACAAAAGGTCGGTGTCAGAGAGGTTATCTAAAACCTACATGACCCCAGGCCACATTAGTTTGGGTGTTTATGGCTCTGTTAGACTTTTAGTGTCGAAGCATCAGCCACATTGCAGGAGCTCCATTGATAAGCACATTCTTTCTCTGGATTTGACAGGTCTGTTCTCAGTATACTGTGCCTCAGCTTTGTCTTGTCATATATTTTACGTTGTCGCACATTAAAGTCAGTATTTTTATAGATAGCTCGCCAGCGTTTTCAGGCTTGACGCTGCGGAGGAAAGAACTGAGCAGTGCCGCACCTGCAGTGTGTGTGCGCGAGAGAGACAATCTGTCTGTATAGTTCTCCATCTGTGTGTGCCTGTGTTGCTGCATTTGCTCCTTCTCACAGCGTGAGTTTCTCAGTTTGAAATGCAACACCTGCAGATGTGTCTTGTAAACTGCAGCCCCCAGCTTCTCTTC